ACGATACCAAGATGTGTAGGAGTCAAAACTACCTGAAATTCCAGAACATCATTTTACCCCAATGAAACTGATTATATTTTATTTGGATCCTTCACAGTGAAAACCATATCAACAAACACAAACCTCCCTGAACCGAATGATGTTTGGATGGCGAAGCGATCTGTGGTTTATGATTTCCCTTGCCACATTCTCATCAATCTACGACCAAACAATGAAACATATAGTTAAAGTCATACACATATACATATAATCATGTGAAACAAATAAGATATTGTGTTTTTTTCATGGATTCATAGAATGAAATGGAAAGATTGTAGCTTTTTCGAGCACCGACTCCGGAATTAAACAAATGGGTTTTCCTACATGAGGTTTATAATTCTAAAAGAATTAAACTTCAAAGCAAAAATCAAAGCAAAAACAAATAAGTAAACGGAGAAATGAAAAAAGGAGGAAAAGTAAGGACCTTGTGGCCGCGGTCGATGAATTTCATGGCGACGAGCTCTTTGGTCTCTTTGTTCCTCATAAGCCTGGCCACCCCAAAATTCCCAGATCCAATATCCTTAACAATCTCGTACTTTTCCATTTTCTACGTTTGATTTCTTCTAATTTTGCTCTAGGGGTTCTGTATAGAAACTCCAATTGAGCTGCACACCACGGAAGCTTGAAACGATCCAAGCTCACACAACACCCAGAAACAAAGAGAAACTGAACCGAATCGGAGAAAACCCAAAACCCAAATCCTGGAACGAGATCAGCGTTCTAGAGAGAGAGAGAGAGAGAGAGAGAGAGGGGGGGGGGGGTTGGGAAGGAAGAGAGTTACTGAATTGGATCACTTGCTGGATTTGATTTGGGGAATTGATTAGGTTGGGGTTGCATGTGGTGAAGATTGAAAGAAAGAATGTTCTATTTGGAAAGAGAGAGAGAGAGAGAGAGATAGAGGTTGAGGGATCCAAGATGCAGAGGGTCTTCAAGGTTAAGCAAAAGGAATCACAAAGAAAGCTTTATAATGGTGAGCTTTCTTAAAGATTTATTTACTTTTCATTATTTTATTTTTCCATTTTTGCCTGGATCAATCTCCATTTTTAACTTGGGACGACAACGGGGCGAGTGTGAACGGGCGCCACATCCATCTGTCCTTTTCGTTTAAGATTTATTACTCCATTACTGCATGGATTATTTTCGGATTTCTTCCTTTCAATTCATTAAGTTTGGAGATTCAAATCGTTGAAATTTGATCCAACGATTAAAATTATTACAATTTTTAAAGTGGACCCATGTTTATAACTTTTAAAGTGAGGCCCTATTTACAACCGTTGATCAAATTTTAACAGGACGGATTGCCGAACTTGATGAATTAGGAGGAAGAGATTTGAAGAGAATCCCTTTTCACCGCATCCATAACTAGTTATTTTAATTGAGAATTCCTCATTCTTGCATCGGGGAATAGGAACAATATTTGATTACTCAAAATTGAGTAGTAATTTTTATTTAAAATTTTTTAAAATTGTTCGTTGTTAATTTATAGAATTTCATGTTTTTAATCATAACTGTTTGAAAACAAATGAACGGTATTGGTAAAAGCATTACGAATCGTCTATGTATTTGTTACAATAGATTGACTAAACGACCTTAGTTTTAATTTATTTTTGGCACAAATGATCTTTACAGTGTGATTCATAATATGAATAGTTCTGATCATAAACACAAAGTTTTATGATTAAAACACTCAGAATTTTAAGTATGAACTTCTACTTATCTTTATATAATCAAGTATTGTTTAGAGAATAGTATCTCTAAACCTGCATCCACCAATTCGCTTTTTTATGAAAAAATTAATTAGTAATATTTTTTTGCTCATATATGAAACATAAATTAATCGACTCGTATCAAAAGGTTAATAAAATAGTGAATAATTCCACATCCTCTAATTCGTTGAATGTTCATCAATCCCCGTCTCAATCTTCTTTTATATATAAAACCAGAGCCCCAATTTCGGATCACGGCTTCGACAAAATGATTAGGACCAGAATACAACCAAAGAAAATCAAAAGCAGCAAAGAAGAATGCATAAAACAATACAAGGGTAATTTTGTAAATTTACTTTTTAATAATTTTGTCTTAGAACAAGTGGATAAGCAATCTGACAAAGTTAGGAGCAATTAAGTATGAACAGTCATATCACAAAATGTACAAACAAAGCATTTTAAGTGACATGTAATGCTGGTTATAAAAAATGTTTTTTGAGGGGGTAGGCTTAGCCTCGCAATGGACTAGCAATAATATGATTTAATCATTTGTTTATTAAATATTATTTTCTCTATTTTTAAACACGTTCAAAATATCTTAAGAGACATGTAATGCGGATTATAAAAAAGTCGTTCGCACACGAATAATTATTTGATTAAATTAATTGTCAAATGAGTTTTTTTTCTTTTAACAAACGATATTATCTAAACATTAAGGGGATAGACTAAGTTTATCCTTAGATTAGCAATAATGTAATTCAATTAATTATTTATTAAACATTATTTTCTCTATTCTTAATGTAAATTCTATAGAGACCAATGTTATTATGATACTTAAACTGCTTTAATTGGTTTATAAAAGGTTTCTTCTAGCATGATATAAGATTATTCATTAGGTTGTGATTTTCACACACCCTTACCTACTTTTCCCACACTTCTCCATATTTTTTAATACTTAATTGGTATCCTACTATTTAATCTTCCATATATACCCCTCCGTATTTAATCTTTCATTAATTACCATAAAAAAGTAGGAAGGGTATATATGGAAGATTAAATAGTGGGATACCAATTAAGTATTAAAAAATAGGGAGGGGTGTGGGAAAAGTAATTAAGGGTGTGTGAAAATCACAACCTATTCATTTACTTCAAATATTTGACTTTTCTTTTGTCAATTTACTCATATAAATATATTTAAAACGTATAAGTCACGCTTTGCACGTCGTGATTTAAAAAATATCTTATGCACGCGTGTGTGCGCGTACATGAACGCTAGTACTTATTAAAATAAAAGGTAATACAAGACATCACAACTTGCAAAACCAATGGGTAAGACTTGCAAACGTAAATATTATCCACAAAAGCAAAATATATGCAACTAAAAGGTTAACATAATTTTCTCATGACATCAAGGGCTTTTTTGACAAGTACTTTTAAACGACTAAAAGCGTTTTTAGAGAAAATGATTTTGAAACTAATCCTTAGTAAAAATGCAAATTAATCATAAAAAAACACTTGAAATACTTATTACAAGAAGCACGTACCATAAAATTAAAATCACTTGCCAAACGAGTCTCAAAATACCAACTTTCCTCCACAAAAGCACCAAAGTTTTGCAGGGTCTAAATATCACCACAAAAAAAAACAAACTTGAGCACACATCAAAGGCTCCACAGTAGAGTGAAGCCGACTTCGATGAGCACTCACAATCCTTCCACTAGTACGAAATGTGGGTTGCGTCCGAAACAAGTAAAGGCAGAGAGAGTGGAATTTGCAAGATATATCTAGCAAGCACTGTGCAGAGTCGGACATTTCACACCATTAGACTTCCACCAAAGGAACATATATTTCAAATTCATTATTTCTTAGCAAGAAAGGCTCCTCATTTGTGGCTCGTTCAGAAGTGCTTTTAAATGATTAAAAGCGTTTTGGTAGAAATCACTTAATAAAAATGTAAGTGAATATTAGAAAAGCACTATTCTAGGAAGCATTTCAAGTGCTTTTGGAACCCAAAAACATTTTCTTTATAAATGTTTTTAGTCATTTTGAAACAATTTCTAAGCGAGCCCTTAACATTTAAAACATACCTCCATCCAACTTGAGTGCACTAGCAGGAATCTTGTGCTATGACTGCTACACTAGCATGCAATCCATCAAAAGCATCCGCAAGAACTTGAGATATCAGATTTTGGTGAAGAAAACAATCCGGAAGGAGGGGAACATGCCAATATAATTGTTTGGCATTTTAATTAAAATGATTTATGAGATTAATATAACTTATCACTTTGGTCTTTGACATTGAAAATCGATACAAGTGGTCACTGAGTGAGTTTGTCCGCCGAAAATCTTTTTGATCATTCCCTAAAAAATATGTCAATATTCTTAGTAACACCCGTTTGTGTTGTAGATTTTTCGGTTGCATCCTCCCTATAACTGCCTTTGTACCCAATACGAGATAACAAGAATCAAAACCATTGGAGTTTGGCGGTGGTGGAAGTGATTGTATTGTTGTCTCTTGAAAACTCAAACTCACTCTCTTCTCTCTTTTAAGGATGAGTATCTCTCCTTTTATTTTATTTTTCACTTTTGAGAGAGAATCCATGGAGGATGGGTGTACATTTGAACCAAGGTGGTCTCGAGACTACTCGGAATCCGAAAAATATATCTGTGAAGATCTTTCGAGGACCTCGAATATTTGATACGAGTCTCTTTTGTGTCTATCAAGTGTTTGATGCAATAAAAAACTGGTAAATTGTGGTTTGACCCCCTGAACTATTTGAAATAAGTTAATTAACCCATTTTCGTTAGATTTCATCCACTGTTCTGTCAAATTCAAGGGGAAATTAGTCATTTTTATCATCAATTCTTACATGTCAGTTATAGCCATAAATAAAATTATGACATGTGGAAACATAATAATGTGAAATGGGCCATTATGCAAATGTTTGGTTTATTTATGTTTCTTATTATGCTATAAGTATTTGAATTATTACGTGTCCATGTGTCATTATTTTATCAGTGGTTATAACTGACAAGTAAGAATTGAAGATAAATAGATTAATTTACCCTTAAATTTGACGGAATAGTGGACGGAATCCAACGAAAAAAAGTTATTGACTGATTTTAAATAATTCAGAATAAGTTTCAACTAGATAATAGTTTAGAGGATCAAACCGCACTTTATCCAAAAAATAAAAACTAGTTGGTGCTGTGAAGCCCAACCATAAAACCCAACCCAAAAGGCTAAAACTGAATAAAAATTAATTAAAATCGCGATCTACCATATGTCCCATTTGTCCCATTTGTCAGAGATAAAAAAATAAATTAAATTAAAGAAAAATGAGATACGCGTTCCGATCCGAACTCGCAAACTCTCTCTCTCTCTCTCTCTCTCTCTCTCTCTCTCTCTGTCTCTCTCGTGAAGACTTTTGAGAGTTGTTGAGTCGAGTCCGAGTGGCCTCAGCCTTCACCTCCTCTGCCTCTGGGAGAGATCAGAATCATCACAACACAAATATTACACCACCTCCTCGCTGACCGTCCAGATCCCACCCTTGCCGGCGATCGCCATGTTCTCCTCCGTCCGATCTCTCTCCCTCTCCCTCCTCTTCGTCTTCTTCCTCCTCGCCCCCGCTTTCGCCACCGAGGCAGATCACAAGGTAAAATTATCCCCCCCCCCCTTCTCTCTATCTCTTCCATTGCGTTGCCCAAACCCTAACATTTTCTCTCTCACTAAATCCCCGTAGATCTCTATGTTTGTCCTTTAAAACTTTAAATTCCGATTCAGATCCGTATTTTCTACGGCTGGTTATCATGTAACTGTGTAAGCATGTGTATATGATGTTAGGGTTAGATCTTAACTGGGTTTTTCTTGTTGGTCCAATTATTGCTGTTTTTGTCTTATGGGTACCTACGATAGCGCTTGTAGTGGTGAATTGGGACTTGCAATGGTGATTTTACCATAGGGTTTTGCTATTATGTGAATGGGGTCTAGGGGCCTCGAGGATATCGATGACGAAATTTGCGTGAGCTGGGTTTTATGCTTGCATTTGAGTAGATTTATGCATAGATGCTTCGTTTAGCAGAACAAAAGACATCAAACTTATCGAAAGTGCAGATCTTGGAACTTGAAAACTACTTTGCACAGATAGCTAATATCACTACGTATCCATAACGCTGAAATGACATCTGAATGGGATCCACCTCCACCAAAAACTGGTTGCAAGTCAATCTGCCATTGTAACACAAGAAGCTTGCCTTGCATTAGCAAAAAATACTTTATGAGTGCTAATGTACTGTCCATATATCCATAAGTCAGGTACCTGTTCAATGAACCCATTGATCCTCAACCTAGGTAATTTCAAAAGACATTAGTTTGAGGCATCCTGATGCTCTAATGAAGCATATGGCTGGCTGCCTTGAATTGTAGATGTAAAAGATGATAGCCTGAAGCCTTTTTCTATAATCGGCACGTGTCAACTAGAATTTCACATACACTGTCATTCTGTCATCAATTTTATTAATCTAACAGGAAACATTTTTGTTAGTTCTAAGTTCACACTTTCCTGCACTGCTCTGATAATAATTGTATTGGATTGATCCATGCTTGATCTAATTCTAAATTATCTGTAAATATTCTAATGCTCCCTTGCTTTCGTTTTCAGTATCAAGCAGAAGATTCAGTTACCCTTTGGGTGAATAAGGTTGGGCCCTACAATAATCCTCAAGAAACATACAATTACTACAGTCTTCCTTTCTGTCATCAATCTGAAAATGCTGCTCACAAGTGGGGTGGCCTTGGTGAAGTCCTGGGTGGAAATGAGTTGATTGATAGCCTGATTGAAATAAAATTTCAAAGTATGTAGGCTTCCTTGCTTTGCTTTAATTTTTGTTGCTGGATTGAGGTATTTCATTGCAACTTGATCTGTTTCATTTCTATATGCAGAAAATGTGGACAGGACCACCATTTGCCAACTTGAACTTGACGATCAAAAGGTTAAACAATTCAAGGACGCAATCGAGAATAACTACTGGTTTGAATTTTTCATGGGTATGTTTTCAATAAAATTATTTAATACGATATGTATACATGGTATAAATATTGGTTTAGATCAAATTGAAGTATGGTGTTTCTAGATGCATATGAAGTTTCTGTTGGAAGTCTTGAGTTAACATTCCAAAACACTTATGGACTGTTGATTTACAAATTTTGTACTCTTTTTGGTATATAGCATGCGTTTTATTTTCTCTGGGGAAGTCGGTGGCCTGTGGGGCTAGAAGGCCTGCAATTCAGCGTAGTTACTGGAGAATGTTGTGGAAAGAATGAAAGATGAGTCGTACGTATCTAGCGCATGGAAGAGGGATGTAGGAAGCAAAAGATTAGGGCAGAGTTATCATTAAATCAATATTAAGAACATTTCTTGTGCTTATGTTTGGACTACAATATAGCTGATGCAATAAAATTATTTACTTAGATGTTTCCTTAGTCATAAAAGTTAATTAATCATTGTATTGTGACTTACATGTTTGTCTATACCTCATGAGCTACTTTCTAATTGTTGCCAAGATCAATATTACTTTACGAGAAACTTGATTTTTAACTACAAGAATTTTGTGTTAATTACATTTTCATAAACAGTATAATGTTAGTATTGGCTTAGGAAATGCTTGAAATTATCTGAAAGTGGTTTTATTGCGTGTGTTAATCTGGATCTCTGTGGAGGTCTACTGCAAGGGTTTATTTTCTTTATGTTTTGTGGCCAATTTGTTTTATATGGGGGCATTCACTGATCCTGTATTTTGTCTCTTTAACGTATTATCTCCCCTGGATGTTGCTGTGCTGGATACATATTCAGATGATCTCCCTTTATGGGGTATGTGGTATACTCATTCCTCCCAATTTGAGCTCATGCTTGTGTTATCCTCTTATTAAATTGGTCTTCGTCTTCTTGTGATATACTAGGCTTTGTTGGTGAGTTGCACCAGGACAAGAACAGTGAAAATGGCAAGCATGTCCTTTACACTCATAAAAGTATCATTGTTAAATACAATAAAGATCAGGTTTGCGATTCTCCATATCAGATGTGGTTTTTATAGTGGGCTTGAGGATCTATGATTTTATTATAGTTTATAATTTTGTAGATCATTCATGTGAATCTCACTCAAGATAGTCCAAAGCCATTGGAAGTAGGGAAGAAATTGGATCTAACATACTCTGTCAAATGGATTGCAACCACTGTCACCTTTGCACGTCGATTTGATGTCTATTTGGACTACCCTTTTTTTGAGCACCAAGTAAGAACTGACTGTTTATTTGTTTACCTATTTTTCTTTCTGGCGTTGAAAGTGTATTATCCTAAATTCAGTAGAATTATGTCTGCAAGGTATTGTAACATTGGTTGCTTGATGATGTTAATATATATATATATGTGTGTGTGTGTGTGTGTGTGTGTATGTATGTATGTATTTTAATTTTTAATGAGCTGTATGTACTGTTTTGCAATATGCAGATACATTGGTTCTCGATTTTCAATTCATTCATGATGGTTATATTCCTTACGGGTTTGGTCTCAATGATATTGATGCGGACTCTTAGGAACGACTATGCAAAGTATGCTCGGGAAGACGACGATCTGGAGACTTTGGTATGGTCTAATGATTTTGTTTATAATCATATCATATCCTTCTTTTAGATGTTTTGATTTTTTTTCTTATGCGACGACATAGATAGAGATACAATACATAAAATCTTTTGTGTGGAGACCCTTTTGAAAATGTGCCTGTTGTAGGAAAGAGATGTCAGTGAAGAGTCTGGCTGGAAACTTGTGCATGGGGATGTTTTTCGGCCTTCTCGGAATTTGGTTGTCCTTTCAGCTCTTGTTGGCACAGGCGCTCAGCTAGCGTTGCTTGTTCTCCTCGTCATCTTACTGGCAATTGTTGGGATGTTGTATGTTGGGTATGTTGACTGCTTGCTCAAAAGTTCTTGGGATGCTATTTTGGGTTATTGTTTTCCACTTGCCTAGCTTTATTTATTTTATTATTTTCAAAACGTTTATATTTGAATCATAAACATGTAAGTTGTGCATACATATATGTTTATGTAATTAATGTTAGTCCAACTATGCATCGCTGCACATTAATGGTTCCCTGTCTTATCTTGTTATCTCATATTCCCATCTTAATTAGTTCATTACTATTTGTGGTCCTTGGAGGAATTGCTAGATTTTTAATTGTGTGTTATACTTACATCATTGCATTTATCTGGTGTCTCAGGAGAGGTGCAATTGTAACAACTTTCATAGTGTGTTATGCCCTTACATCTTTCATTTCTGGTTATGTAAGTGGTGGGATGTATTCACGGCATGGGGGTATGTATTTCTTTGTTTGATATGATAGATGTGCTAGTCATTCTGTTTAAGCTTTCTAACAAATCACTACAATCTTTATCAGGTAAAAACTGGATAAAGTCAATGATACTCACAGCATCCCTATTTCCATTTATGTGCTTCGGGATTGGGTTTGTCTTGAACACAATTGCTATTTTCTACGGGTCACTAGCAGCTATTCCTTTTGGCACAATGGTGGTTGTTTTTGTCATTTGGGCATTCATCTCTTTTCCTCTAGCACTTCTTGGTACAGTTGTTGGAAGGAACTGGAGTGGTGCTCCTAACAATCCTTGCCGTGTGAAAACCATTCCTCGTCCTATTCCTGAGAAGAAATGGTATTTAACCCCATCTGTAGTCTCAATGATGGGAGGACTTCTGCCCTTTGGAAGCATATTTATCGAAATGTATTTTGTCTTCACGTCCTTCTGGAATTACAAGGTGAAATTTCAATAACTATGTACTGTTTATAGGATAGACTTGCTGATTACATAGATCTGGAGTACAAAATAACATTGCAAACATAGGCTGTGCATGGCATTCCTTAGAGTTAGACAAAGTTACAATAGTTGGAGTCATTATGACACCAAGCTTATGAAAACTGTTGAATTCATGAGGTTCATTTGCTGAATTTTACATCTTGAAAGCAATGATTCCTGGTCTGTCTTGGGAATCATTTGTTTGTCAAAGACTCGGTGAAGTTCTGTTGCACCACATTTGAGCATATTCTATGTTGTTTAGAAAGCTGCTAAAGTCTGTTGTGGCGAAAGTGCATGATACTTGTTGAGTGTGGACACAATGATTAACATGAATAGTAATGTATTTCTTGGTCTTTGTGTCTCAACAGGTGTACTATGTCTATGGCTTTATGCTGCTTGTTTTTCTGATTCTCATCATTGTTACCGTATGCGTGACAATTGTGGGGACATACTTCTTGCTTAACGCCGAGAACTACCACTGGCAATGGACTTCTTTCTTTTCTGCTGCATCAACAGCTGTCTATGTGTACTTGTATTCAATATATTACTACTATGCAAAGACTAAGATGTCGGGTTTCTTCCAGACCAGCTTCTATTTTGGGTACACTTTGATGTTCTGCCTTGGCTTAGGGATCCTCTGCGGTGAGTTTTATCTTATGCACTAACTTGAATTTCAGTTCCACTTCATGGATTTTGAGATGTCAATATTGTTTTTTGCTCGACTCTTGTTCCCACCCAACCAGTATGGCAGCATGAATGTGGGCGACCAATTGTTGACCTATGTATTTAAAGGCTTTTTTACGGTGCTATCATTTCTTGATTGAACTATGCTTGACCTGAGCTTTAGTTGCAGAGTTACTAAGAAGAATCGTCTCTTCTTGAGTGCCATGTTCTCCCACCCTCTGATTATTTGTTTGTTTCCTTTTCAAATGTGCAGGAGCTGTTGGATATTTGGGTTCCAATTTGTTTGTGAGGAGGATCTACAGAAATATCAAGTGCGACTAGAGCATCTCCGCGAGGAAATGGACCTGATGGAGCTTTACCGAGTAGATTGGCCGTTGTTGAGGTACGTGGTCAGGGATGGGGATCCAGCAACCACTAGAGACCGAAATCGCAGGGTTGAGGATAGGGAATGTATTCTTTCTCTGGACTTGGGAAAGCCCTGAGAGGTTTTTTTTGTTTCCCCAGCTGTCAGTGAAAGCCTAAATTTTAGATTGCAGAGATTGTTTTATAATCTAAGTTAGCGGTCGTCGTACTCCTGTTGATTTTATTATTTTCTTTTTTTCGTCCTTTTACAAATAGGTGCCCTATTACTCTTTCTATCTGTATGTCTTTGGGATGGATGGGAAGTAAGGGAAGGGCTTCCCGAAACGAACCTTTGATTCCGAGTTATGTAGCGACTTGTGAATTTTGATTCCATCTGTACCTTGCATATATAAGTATCATTGTCTGAAACCTCACTTTGTGTCTCTACATCTTTGCATGATTTGTTTCGAGTATTTCTTTTAACCCGATATGAATGACAATTCGGGTGATCTCGTGATATTCCGTTGTGGGCTTTTTAGTCAAAATAGTTCTTGAAACATGCGTTATTTCTCATTTTGATCTCAGAGATTATTTATTATTAATCATTTTGATCATTCCTTGAATAATTATATTAAATAAAGATTAAAATGACCAAATTACCCTCAATTTAATAAACAATAGGTTAAAATGATTTGACAAAAAATAAAGGTATTTTTGTTATTTTATTCTTGTTTAATGAAGATTTTTCATGGAATGATCAAATGATTGATAATGAACAAACTTATGGATCAATTGCATTGATTTCAAATTTCAGGACCAAAATAAGGAGTTACGTAAATCTCAAAGATTATTTTAGATAAAAAGTCTTACGTGGTGTCGTAATGAAAATTACGGATGAGTATGTCTGTAGCCAGAGCCGATAGCAAATGGTCCTTTTTATGCCGTAAACGAGCTCTGTTTCTTCGACATCCATGTTGTGCAAAAACTGCTACATGCTGACATAAATCTTCGTACAAAAATTACATAAATCTTTGGATCTTTTTGTTAAAATCTTGTTGAACAAGTAATCCTAGTTTATGATAGCCTATTGTTGTAGATGGTGCTAGTTTGATATCTGTCAATTTCCTTTCCCCTAACAGCTAACTATGTAATCCATTAATATTATCGTTCTCCTCAAAATGATAGCCTTGTGTTATACAAGTAATGTTATAGTTAAGTCAATCTTGGTGATTTTAATTTAACCAGTTTTTTTTTTTATAATACGATATTTCAAATTGCTATAATCTATTGAAAGAGAAATTTGAACTTAATGTCAGGAGACAAAAACACCATCTTAGCCAATCGGCCTGACATACATTGATCTAGCTAATAGACCTAACTTGCATTTGTATTTTGGCCTACTAGAGATTAGATTCTCTTTTATCTTGTAGTCCAGAGCCGAAGGACTGAGAAATTCAGATCAGTCAAGAGAAAGATCCGAACTCTTAATTTGTGTACAGTAGACCAATAAAATGAACTAATGGAAGCCATAGAGTTAAAAAAAAGTGGTCCGAACTTCTTAGTCTGTCAGCTTCGGATTGCTAGACGCGGAGAGGATTCGATTTGTAGTTGAAATAAGACCAAAAACCTCGTTCAGAGGATTGTGCCCGCCACATTCACTCACTCCTATATGGTCCTGTGGTGATGATAAAAAGATAGAGTGATCCACAAGATTTTGCCACGTGGCAGATAAGGGTTGATGCCACTTCACCCTCTCTCTCTCTCTCTCATTTGTAGCCACAATTTCCACAAGTCATCCCATTTATCAACACTACTAAGCCTTTCACTCCCACTCTCTTTAGCCACAACACAAAAGCCTTGCAACCAAAGCAAACCAAAAACCATGGCAGCCACAGCAGCAGCAGCTCTCTCAAGCACCATGGTCAGCACCTCCTTCATCCGCGGCCAGCCGATGACCAGCCTGCGGTTGTCCCCCAATGTCGGCCAGGCCCTTTTCGGGCTGAAGGCCAACCGCGGAGGGCGTGTGGCGATGGCTGCCTACAAGGTGAAGCTGATCACACCAGAAGGGCCACAAGAGTTTGAGTGCCCTGAGGACGTATACATTCTCGACGCGGCGGAGGAGGCAGGAATTGACCTGCCCTACTCCTGCAGGGCAGGGTCTTGCTCCTCGTGCGCCGGCAAGGTTGTGAGTGGGAGTGTGGATCAGTCGGACCAGAGCTTTCTGGATGATGATCAGATTGGCGGTGGATTTGTGCTGACCTGCGTGGCTTATCCGTCGTCTGACGTCACACTTGAGACCCACAAAGAAGAGGAGCTTACTGGTTAAGTGCTTTTGAGCTTTCTCATGATGATGTCATGTTTTGACGGCTGCTGTCCGGTTGAATCTGGCTTTAGTTTGTTTCAGGATAAGGTTGTCTTGTTTCTAATTATATGAGTTGCTTAATGTTTTTGTACTTCGTTTGTGGTATAAAAATCATTGTACCTTCACCCTTGTATGAACTCTCTCTCTCTCTCTCTCTCTCATCTGCTTGGAAGTGCTTTTAGGATAATAAGTGCTTTTAGATAATTAAAAGAACATCTGATAACGTTTGTTAGTAAAAGGAAGGTTCAAGAGGGAAGAACTTGTAATGAAAGTGCTTGTGAAGGTAGAAGGTATGTCTTAAAAGCCATATTTAACTGACAGTGGAATGAATTTTAACATGGCTTAACAGAAACTTCCAAGTGTTCAGCCATTTTCTAAACCTAAACAACGCCCTCGCTTGCTAATCCATAATCGAAATGGTAGGATTGTACTAGAGTTGAATGACGAGTAAGAGTCGGATTCCTGTTGATTCCAATTACGAAGCCTCAACTTGCTAATCAAGCCCTTCATGTTTTCTGAAACAACTCCAATAGAGTATCCATTTGTTCCTCCACTCCATCATCATCATCGCTGTTTATCGGAGGCTGTGATGCACTGATTCTCACCGCGTCAGATAAATACTCTTCCACTCGAAATGAGTAGTCATGCTGAGATGGTCCGGAAGTCTGTTGATCAGTCTCGGGTTGCTGTTCCATTGGTGCTACCGTTACTTGATGTAGGGAGTCCAAGGATGAGTTCCGAGACAAGGTACCAGATGCAACGGTTATCTCATCCCTCTCGTCTGTTGTATCAAGTGAACAAACTGACCTTGTTGCGTGTGAGTGTTTAGACCTCTCCTTTACTCGCTTGCACCAACTATGGAGCGAATCTCTAACACTCTCAGCAACAAGAGCTTTCTTACACTGGGATCCCATCTGCAGTCACCAAATAGCGAGAATGAACCATAAAAAACAACTCATTCGTGCGAGTCAGAACAATTTCTTAGCTTCTGTGACATCCATAAGTTCCCGTAAATAAGAAACCGTTAGTTTGTTAGGCTAAGTTAACAATCCCGGAAAGTGTGCAGTATTGTGCATTACGCAAAATTCTAACGTAAATCAGTGAAGCGTTTAAACAAACCTGTGTAACAATTACGTTCAGAGGCACTGTGCCGTAACTACACCAGAACTGAACAAGAACACTGCAAATTGGCAATCACCAAAAAATTAAGAAAAACATTGTAAGATGCATAATACCGGTACTCTTAACATGTCCACGGTCAACCTCTAGGACTGATTGACGCTAGGATCCCGTTCATATGCATCAGCATGACCAGAAATTATTGCGTTGTCAAAGTACAGAACATACCCGCAGGTCAACCGAATAGCGATCATTAAGTGGTTTTTCATGAAGCATGATCTCTCCTTAAGCCCCCACTGCATTTACAGAGGAAAAGTTCAATACAATTTCCATAATCTCTGAAATTTCATCCAACCAATTTATATGTTGTTACACGAGACTAATGCTCTTACCAAGGACCAGAGAAATGTCGCCATCTCAAAGGCATTCTGCAGTCACACCAAGAAAACTCGTGAGGATCAAAATAACTACAATTAAGGCGTAAGATATGATTTCAAATATTCGTAACCTGAAATATGATGAACTGTATCAACCGCAATAGTATCACAGGTTTTCCAAACCAAAACAAATCATCACGTGGCTTTACTTGAGTCCCATTAGCTGGCCCTGTTTGTTCCACTTCAAGTGCTAAGGAAGAGACGACATGCTGTAGTTTCGTTCCAACCAGCATGACAAGCTTTGACATGAACCATCCGAAAGAAAAATGAGAAGGAAGATTGTTTTATAGACGATTTACTTTAGAACAATGATAGCATGTGAACTTACAATGGCAGGGATGAAAGAAAGCCAAAAGTAAATATTCAAACCTGCAGAAATCGGAAAAATGTCAGGAAATAAGGCTCCAATAACACACACACACACGTGCGCGAATCTATTTATTTGCGTTCTGAAGACACAAGACTTTACCATGAACATTTACGAAAATGCAGACTATGGAATATCCCCAAAGTGGGCAGCTGCAAACGAAAAATTATTCAGATACAACAACCTTCATCCCGTAAGATAATTAAGATCATAATATGAAATAAATCCATGTTCACTATTTGATTAAAAAAAGCTGTTTTTGTTTTCTCCAATAACTCATCTATTCAAAGCTTAACGTCCAATGACACCAACCAGAGGGTAAAAACATTCCGAGTGATATTTACAGGCATTGGAAAAGGTCATTTCATCTTCTATCGATATTACATACTTCTGTACTGTCCTATACAGCCTTATATTAACAGGAGATGTGAATATAATATAACAGATTGTCAGTCAAGAAGCGCAAACCACTACAACTCAAGTACATACATACAATACAAAACTCCCAAATATCAGAATATAACATAGTTTGGTATAAAGTTACGTATGTAATCCAGAAAAGTGCTTACCTAATACCCAGAATGCCCTGAAATTCATCTTCCATACTCCGGACCATGTATTTATGAAAATTATACGAAAGTGGAAGTTTGTGCTTCTGCATATTACGAACGCATAAACAAAAAGCCATGCGCATCAGTACAATAACAACATCAAAAAGCCATGAGAAGGGATGCTATTCCAGCGAACAAGAAAGTCAACAGAAATACACTGGTTACTAATCTCAAAACACTTAGAGTGATTAATACACTCTAAGATCTGCAACTTTATCCAGCATGCTGCATATTCATTCAGATAGTTTGAGGTTTCTAGTGCAATTAGAAAACAGAATGTTTACTAACTTTTTGTTTTACAAATAAAATAAAAGGAGAAGAGAGACAACCGATTACAAATATGAATACAAAGAAAAATGAGGTGCCAAAGTATGTCTTGTACATAAGCGGTAAGAAACCAACGTGTTCAACTAAGGGAATCAATAATAATATACTCACACTGATGAAGCCTGAACGCAGAGCCAAGTAATCTGATCTCTCTATAGAACTCTTAAATTGTCGTAGAAAGCAGAGCTGCAGCATTAAGATGAAAATCATT